AGACAGAGCCTTTAGTTTTTATAGCAGGTACCACGTGAATAAAAATCAATACACATCAGTTTACAGCCAGGAAGTTTGATCAGATATCCTAAGGGATAACAACCCTCAGCCTCAGTATATAAGTTATCTATAAAGGTCAAGTTGTTTACCTCTAATGAACAACAGCCAACAGCCCTTGCAAGATGTACAAAGTATTGTTTCTATGGAAGCTTGTCTAGCAGTAGCCTGTGCAAGCCCCAAAGCCAGCTATCAAAGAAAAATGATGATTCAGCAAATACACTGCTTCTTTTGAGGTATGGCTGCCAGGTCTCTTCTGTTACCTTGAGAAGTCACTAACCGCTCCGACTCACTGCTCTTCCACCTGTAGAAGAAATGTATACTTCTGAAGCCTTTCAAACCTAAGTGTTGAGAATTGAGGTAGCTAAGTTAATTGTAGGGATAGTGCAAACTTGCATATGCTAGCCTCCATTCACTCGGAGAAAGGAAGCAAAGGACCATCAGCAGCTGTAGCCTCCTCTTCCAGAGTGCTATAGTAAACAGTTGTTTCGGCCAAATGACTTCTATAAGATTTAATGCATACATAGCAAGCTAGTCTTTGCAGTTCAGTCAGTCACCATGGTTAATTAATCCTAGAGTTCAGAGCAGAATATACTTGTTCTTGTTCAGCACTGTTCTGGCCTGTACCTTCCTTCAACAAGACATTCTTTGTTCTCCTATTCAATATCATTCAAGCTGTGATAACATCCTCTCTCATATCAATTTCTAGCAAAGTCTTTGCTCACTTAAAAGTAATAATTTCCTGCTTTCCAGCCAAGGTTTTACCCACCCTTGCCAAGTATGACCCCAATAAGAGGGACTAAACTCTAGCCATGCAGGGTACAGGAACTTTTCTGCAGATCTGGAGCATCATAGTTGCAGAATACAAGTCTGCTTCCCTATTTGCATGTCATGCAGAAGTGGTATCACTCACATCAATGTTGGGGGCAGCATTGTTCAGCCTGAAGAGTCCTTTAAGAAAAGCCTTTGAGACAAGGTACCTCAGCATTTTGTGAGTTGTTGAGTAGTGTGAGCGACAAAGCCTGTTCTTGCTTAGCTTAAGCTGTTTCCCTGTTACATCCCAGGTACTGTTTTCTTTTTAATATAGAGAATAAGCCATATGAGGATTGTTTTTTCTTTAAGGGCCAATTGAACAGGCTAGATCCATTGCTACTTTAGACAGGCTACTGATCACTTGATTAAAAAGAACGCTGCCACTTTGAAATACCGTTTTACTGCCAGGTTTTGAGAACGTGTATACATGAGGCGGAAAATGATTTTCAGATCCAAAGCACCTCAGCAGTAACCCAGTTAATCTGGACTTATGCTATAATGTTTGAAGTCTCTCCTGGTAATGGACAGTGTTATTTCTATCTGTGTGATCCACTCAGGACCAAGACGTAATCAAGATGTAATGCATAATTAGCTATTTCCACATGTTAGCACACCAGCAACAGTCCATAATGTAACAAGAGCCCACTTTGCAGTTCATCTACACAAAATTTAAGGCTTTAAGTAGAACAAGTTTCCTACTTAGTTTTCAATGTGGGCACACATTTGTTCATAAATATTAATGCATTACTCTGAATAGTTTATTTTATTAGATTAAGCAAAGTCATCAAGGAGAGCAAAGCATCTGTTCAAAAAAAGAAAGCATCCACACAGCAGCTCTCTCCAGTTAACTGTTTGGAAACACCACAAGGACTGACAAGCCACATTAAATTTACCTATCAAGTTTACATTACAGGCTCAGCCACAGACACATAAGTATAATGATTTTTAAAAAAAATGATTTTTTTTTAAAACAGAGACATTGGTTCTGTATTAGACATTCCTGGGTGTCATCATCATACCAAGCTCAAAAGCAGCCTTCTGTCAAGCATCACATTACAAGAGTCAGGTTTCAATTTGAAGGACTGGCCAAAAAGGAACAAGGGGAAAAAGGGTGTTTAACAGAAGGAGAATCAAGAGAGAAACAAAAAAACTAAATTATAGCCTTGATTTCTTTTTAAACACATTAATAAATGGGGTTTCACATTATACTTACACAAGCAAAAGTCAGACAAGTCACTGACTCCCAAGTCAGATCTACAGACCATATGGCCACTGTGAGTTTAAAGACCTAATCTACCAGAAGATCATTGTTTTGCGGGTTAAGGTGTTTTTTGTCAGAACTGCAGTTGCATTAGCTTAGGTTTAACACAAAGCCGTACTCTTTCCAGCATAAGCCTAGGCTGTTACAGAAAGACGCACTCAAACACTTTGCTACTTGCTCTCACCAGTTTAGCAGCCTATTCCTTGTGCTGGTACACAGACTTGTGAAAGTAGCAGAGACCTGGTCTGAAAATAGGACTTTCAGTCTAATCAGTTCCCTGGTGTAGTCTAACATGAGATCCTTTAACCATTGAGATAGCAGTTCTGGCTCAATGCCAGACTGCTCAAAGCAGTAGTCCCTCTCTCCTGTCAGCTTCTGCTGGCATATCTTTCTGACTTGCACTAATCAAAGGAGATGTTTTACACACAAGACTATTTTCCCCAAATACCCAGAAATGCCTATTAGCCACTCCAACATTCCCCAGGGAAAACCCTGATTACACTTCACTTTCATGTGGTGGTGAGGAAAAGCATCTCCTCCTTCTGAGGCAGATCCTTGAAGCCTTCACTTTTACAGAGGAAAGTGAGCACGACTTGCACCGATTCATATTCCTTATCACTCACACTAATTATTGCTTCTTTGAACTGGGGCCTTTGGCCATACCCACAGCAGAAGATTCCTGACATGTCCCGTCAGCTATAACCCCAGCAAGGCTTATATACACTAGCCCCAGTAATTGAATCCAAGTCCACTGTTTTAGCCAAGCACACTAAAAAACAAAGTCTTGAAAAAGGCCTCTCCAGTTTGGCCTGTCCACTCATCTTTGTCAAGGCTCCTCTGACTTCAACACAGGCCCAAACTCTGCTACGAACTGTCTCAAGTTCCCATAAAGTGAGGACTTTGAACAGACCTTTTCCACAGCGTGCTGCTGAGTCAGAGACATATGAAGTGGTAGAGCAGAGGGGCAGAGATGAAAGTTCTCTAACAAATGCTGCGTTTTGAAGCAAATAAACTCAGACTCCTGTCCTGAGAGGGCTCCAAGCGCTTTAAGAAGCACTTGTTTACCTCCTTTTGAAAGGCCCTGTCTTTGACACTTCAATATCCCGGGTCTATGGCAGCTCTATCATATGGAAACTTTTCAATAAGTGATCTTTCTGGCCTGCCCTAGCCACTTTAGTAGGGCATTGTGCTCCCCTCAAAGAGCACAGCGACCCAGCAGTAGTCCTGAACTGAGAATTGCAGCTTCACACATGCAAGGACATATCCCAAAGAACTGGGACAACAGTAGAGAACTGCACTAATAAGCAACAGCCAAGGACAGTCTCAAGTAGTGACAAAGGCCCCAGGGGAGTTGTCACTTCAAAATTGTCAGGACTTGACCATCACCCTCAGACCCAAAGTCTTGATTACAGTAGTTCCTTGAAATGCTAGCGCCTTGCATCACTATAAAGCATTAACCCAGATTTTCATTTGAGATACATTAGTCCCATTTCTTTCTAGTCCCAAGTTAGTCTATCCATTATCATACACACTTGATACTTCTTCCTGTATGCAGCTCCACTCTACCTCCAATACAAACCCTGATACGTCTCTCCTTCCAGAAGGGAACTCCTATCTCTACCCTAGTCCCTGGTGGACAGCACCCCCTACCAAAGCATTCCCTACATCCCTTCCTGCAGCATAGCCCTTCTGGAAGCTCTAGCCACATCCTCTGGCACCCCAAGGCAGCCAGAACAGCTAGAGTCACCTAAGGCTCTTCTGAACTGCTCAGGACTACATAAGATATTCACTGCAAAAGAAGCACATAAGTAATGATAGCCTCCATTTCCCAGGCTGGAGTAGTATCTTTATTACTGAGGAAGTCAGGAATAAAGTACTGAGGAAGGCACGTAAGCTGGTACGACAGCATGAATCTCTATGCTCACTGAGAGGATGAATATACTCCTATGATACATAAGAAGTTGTACTTCAAAGAGATCTTACAACCAAAGCCTGTGGAACATCTACTAAAGCCAAGCTGAGGAGAATAAACCTGGTGCCCAGGTAAGCTTCCTTACTAGCAAGGCAAGGATTTCACAAAACTACCACCAAACCCTCCTCTTTCTAGGGAGAGGCAGCAGGCACCAGACCAAGCCTTATCCAACTTGGATAATTCAAGGCTGCACCAAGCACTGCAGTGAGCCCAAGAGAGCTGTAGGTGACAGATTAAACCAGCATACCAGATTGTGGTGAACTGGCACTCAGAGACAGACCATCTAGCTGCCAAGGTAAGTTACATTTGTCCTCCTTTCCTTCCCCAGGAATCTGGAGTTTTTACAAGATAACAGCTTCACAAAACAACCAACTTAGAAAAAACAATTAAAAGCTAATGGTACCAGTGGAGTAATTCTTAAGATCACTTGAACAGATTTTCATGGACTGAAGAAAAAATCCATGCATGATAATTCAGTAGAAACTGTACTTTTGAATATTATTAGGTTTAGTTATCCAGTCTTCAGTTGAAGTTTTTAAAATCAACCAAGGGACAGGCAGAATGACAGTGCTAGCAAATCCAAAGCTAGCAAAAAATGGGTGTAATGACTTCAGCATAAAGATTCTCTTCAATGATCTGCATCAGGACTGTTCAGCAACACCTTTCAATAGCTGGAGAACTATTAGAAACACAATAGCAAAATAAAGCAGGGGAACAGAATGATGGCCAGAATTGCTGCTTCCAAACAGCTTTTACTACATCCAGCCCTGTCTAAAGCCAGAGGCTGGCAACTACGTTACAAAACCCTTCCCCCTCCCCCCACACCACCCAACACGTACTTATGTATTTGCAAGACAAAGGGTCACAATTACACTGCATCATTGCTGCAAAGCATACCTGTGTTTTTAGGCCCATCTGCATAGACTGGTCCTGGAGGTGGAGGTGCATTTTGCCATCCATACTGCGGATAACCTTGATAGCCTGGTTGACCTGGCTGATAAGGTCCAGTAGGCCCAGGTGGATAACCTGGGTATGGGCCTGGAGGACCACCTGGTTGTTGTGCATAGGGCGGGTATGGAGCAGTTGGGCCTGGGCCTGGGTAAGGTGGAGGATTTTCGTAGTTCATGTGGGATGCAGAGTCTGTCCTGCAGCAGAAGGAGAGAAAAAAAATATTTCCTTGCTTTTGCCTGCTTCTTCCAAGGGCATATAAACCTCAGTTCAGATTGCTTTCTCAAGGATCTTGCATTAAGTTAAGATTAACCAACTTCAAAACACCTGGTAAAGCATTGAGGCTTTTAACCTATCACATGGGCAGAGACTGAGTTTAAGTGACTTCTTTTAAATAACATGACTTCAGCATAGCAAAGGAGAAACTGATTTGCCAGTTTCCCACATCATGAATTAGCCATTTACCAAGATATTTAACAGTCTCCCAACTATAAAGAAAATTCCTCAGCTTCCACTCAAGTGATTAAATTGCTTTTGAGAGATTTAAAAGTGATTTCTTTTTTAATATTGACAGAAATGCGAAGTAAAGCACATCGAGGGACAGCCTACCACAGACATATGCCTCAGTCTGGACGAGGGAAAGAATTAATGTCTAACTGAAATGCATTTTGTCCTGAATTAGAATATTACACTTCCGGCAATAACTACATCTAAGTTCTGGTCTAGATATTTGTAATAAACTATTCATATACAATATTGCTTTAATTTCCTGAAGACATCGTAACTCAATGAATCACAGAATCGTTTAGGTTGGATAGGTCCTCTGGAGATCATCTAGTCCAACCCCCCTGCTCCAGCAGGGACCTCTAGAGCAGATTGCCCAGGATCACATCCAGATGGGTTTTGAATATCTCCAGAGAAGGAGACTCCACTACCTCTCTGGCCAACCTGGTCCAATGCTCTGTCACCCTCACAGTCAAGAAGTTTTTCCTCAGGTTCAGACGGAACTTCCTGTGGTTCAGTTTCTGCCCGCTGCCTCTTGTCCTGTTGCTGGGCACCACGGAAAAGAGACTGGCCCCATCCTCTTGACACCCTCCCTCAGATACTTGTAAATGTTGATGAGATTCCCCTCTCAGTCTTCTCTTCTCCAGGCTGAACAGGCCCAGCTCTCGCAGCCTTTCTTCAGAGGAGAGATGCTCCAGTCCCCTCATCATCTTCGTAGCCCTGTGCTGGACTCTCTCTAGGAGTGCCATGTCTCTCTTGTACTGGGGAGCCCAGAACTGGACACGGTACTCCAGGTGAGGCCTCACCAGGGCTGAGCAGAGGGGCAGGATCACCTCCCTCCACCTGCTGCCAACACTCTGCCTAATGCAGCCCAGGATCCCATTGGCCCTCCTGGCCACAAGGGCACATTGCTGGCTCATGCTTAACTTGTCTGCCAGCAGTACCAGGTCCCTTTCTGCAGAGCCGCTTTCCAGTAGGTCAGCCCCCAGCCTGTTCTGGGGCAGGGGGTTATTCCTCCCTAGATGCAAGACCCTGCACTTGCCTTTGTTGAACTGCATGAAGTTCCTCTCGGCCCAGCTCTCCAGCCTGTCCAGGTCCCTCTGAATGGCAGCACAGCCTTCTGGTGTGTCAGCCCCTCCTCCCAGTTTTGTCTCATCAGCAAACTCGCTGAGGGTGCACTCTGTCCCTTCCTCCAGGTCATTGATGAATACATTGAACAAGACTGGACCCAGGACTGACCCCTGGGGGACTCTAGCATGATTTCCCTTTGGTGAATCCATGCTGACTACTCCTGATCACCTTCTTGTCCTCCAGATGCTTAGTGATGACCTCTAGCATGAGCTGTTCCATCACCTTTTCAGGCACTGAGGTGAGGCTGACAGGCCTGGAGTTTCCTGGCTCCTCCTTCTGGCCCTTTTGGAAGACTGGGGTGACGTTGGCTTTCTTCCAGGCCTCAGGCACCTCTCCTGATCTCCAGAACCTTTCCAGGAGGATGGAGAGTGGCCTAGCAAAAACATCCGCCAGCTCTCTCAGCACTCATGGGTGAATCCCATCGGGGCCCATGGATTTGTGGCTGTCAGGTTTGGACAAAAGATCTCTAACCTGATCCTCCTCGGCCAAGGGAGAGTCTTCCTTTCTCCAGACTTCCTCTCTTGTCCCCAGGGTCTGGAATTCCTGAGGACTGGCCTTAGCAGTGAAGACGGAAGCAAAGAAGGCATTCAATAACTCTGCCTTCTCTGTATCCTTTGTCACCAGGGCACCCGCCCCATTCAGCAGCGGGCCCACGTTTTCCCTAGTCTTCCTTTTGCTATTGATGTATTTGAAGAACCCCTTCTTGTTGTCCTTGACATCTCTTGCCAGATTTAATTCCAAAGGGGCCTTAGCCTTCCTCGTCGCATCCCTGCACACTCTGACAATGTCCCTGTATTCCTCCCATCACGTATTCTTTCAATAAAATGCTCCTGAACTGTTAAACAGCCATAAGCAATCAAGATCTCGGGCTCAGTCTCATTCAAAAAAGCAATACTGAAGAGACTTCAGAGACTTGAAATTCTTAAGAGCTACCTAACACATTACTCTCGCCACAGCCATCTAGATACAAGACTGTCACCACAATACTGCAATTTTAATAACCTCTTAATAGCATGACTAAGCAAGACTCTTCTCATTAGCTTTCCCCAAGCTTCTCACCATTTGAGAAACCTAAGAACTGTCCCGATTTAAATAGTTTTATTCTACTATTATCCTTTTGCCATGACAGGCTCTAGAAGAGTCACTATTTTCTTTTATGTTTACATATCCCTTCCTACTCTCCACAGTGTTCTGGGAGAAATACCAGGAAAATTACTTGCTTCTGCTGGCACAGAACAGGAGGTGTGATAAGCCTCAGTGGTGTTTCCAACACCTCTGGAAGGTGTTGGAAAAAGACAAGCAGCTGGGCTAGACTGACCTAGATGCTCAGTATACTGCATTAATGGTGAGAGAGGTGCAGATTTTAAGGCCAGAGGAGACCATTAGCACATCTAGTCTGAGCTCTGGCACAAAGATTAATGATTTCACCTTCTGACTCTATAGCAAGACCAAAAGCTATCTGCCCAGCCAAAGCCAAATGAGTCAAGGCTTTGGGCTATGTTTAGCTGCTGCAATCCTTGACTTAGCAAGTCATAAACAAAGTTCAGTTCAACACTATTTCATCACTTCAAAGAGCTGACTCTCCTTCCCCAAGGAAGGATCCCTACCTCCTCTCCTTATTTACAGGTTGCTAATGAAATTCAGGCAGGAGTATGTTAGCTTCTGCATACATACTGTAGGGCTCTTACACAGCTCTCTCCCACCCTCAGCCTGTAAGAGCCAGTCTTATATTATAACACCTAAGGAACAATACAACTCAAAACAATTCCACAGACTTACTTCAAGGTAATAGGATTAATGTCCTTCCTATGACAATACTGAAGAGTATTTGAATCTCAAACTAGGTTTTCCCAGACCTTGCCAGCCTGCAGTTTGTCATTCAACTGAATTAACTCTGATGCTCTTTTTGCTATGCAGACCAAAGAGTCATAATTAATTGCTAGGGCAGTGCTGCTACCTTTCCAAATGATTATTTCTTAATGCCTTAGAATTTTAACTGTTAAGCTAATGTCAAGCATTAGAGGAACTTTGTTTCTCTTTCTCTGCCTGGCCAGCCAGACCACTTAACTGCTCATCTGAAAATGGACAAGCAAAACAGAAGTTTCACTTGAAGCAGTGCAGTAGAACTGTTAAGGAGCAACTCTTCTATCAAGTCTGCAGCAAAGGGAATCCTCTGCAGAGAGCCAGTGAGATGCAGGTAGCAAGTTCCTACAAGTAACTCAGATACAAAAGTCTGCAGATTAGGATTTAGTGCAACAGCTATCCTTGGTTACACTTAAGGGTCATCTAACCTACAAACTCATCTCAAAATAGTGGCCAAAAGCAAGTTCCTGCAGAAGAACAAAACCAGTACATATGCACATGTGTGCAAGTGTGTACATGCACACACTTATATAAACATACACAGAGCAGACTAAGCATTTGGTGACCAGTGTGCACCAGACAGCATCCAGGCAACTAACATACAAGGGTAAATTTCTCTTCTGCGAGTTTGCTCAACCTCACTTGAGCCCAAGGGTCCAAGTCTGGTGATGGTCTGGGCAAACACAGAAGTGATAGCATAGTGAGCAAGAAAGAAAATAGAAAAAGAACACCGGTATGAGCAGCTTTGTTTTAGCCTTGTCAAAATTTAGTTTTTAAAAACAGGAGACAGGTTTGGAGTGCAGATAACTGAACTTCTGCTTGTTTACACTGGGGAGGGGGAAAGAGGACTGATGAAAAAAGCTGAAGAGAATCTACCAAAATCTGAGTAGATGTGTGTTTAGTGAAGTCAGAAGAACACAAGAGGACAGTAAAGGAGGTGAAGAATGACATTAATGTAATTTTTCCCTCAAAACTGAATATACCAGCACTGAAATTAGGCAAAAAGTTTAAGAGAGCATCCAGGAAGAACAGTTTCAACAGCAATTGTACTGGAGATTATCTGTATCGAACAAGACAACTAAACTCCAGAAACTTAAAGCATTCAGCAAGCCTATGAGGAAGTTGTGGGAACTAGACTGCCCAAAGGTCTTAAGTATTACTTCTGTCTGCTTTCCTTCAAACTGTTCCTCTACTGTGAACATCAGCCTTCTCAGTAGCCTTTGTGCCAAGTAACATTCTCCGATATATTCCTTTTCATCCCCCATTGCCAGTGCCAGTTATTGACTGTCATGCATACATGCATATACTTTTCCCTACTTACCTTTTTGAACATAATACTTGGATTTCAGTCTCATGAAGTCACACATGATACTTGTCTGCTAGCCCTGTTTACTCCCCTGGATATACATTTGCCAGCAAGCACCTTGCATCACGAAGCAGATACTTTTCAGAGACATACTTCAGCTCCTAGTCAAGGGTATGTAAACTTTGCTGTGGGTTCTCACCCTAACCAGTAATTCTACACTGGCTGTAACCAACACTAGCTCCTATGAACCTGCATCATGAGTCATACTTGTGGGTTTCCCAACTAGCACCTCTTGAACACAAAGCTCTGAAGAAAGAGGCCAACATGTCAGTAAAGCTCTTTTTCATGGCACTCCAGGAGATTCCATTAGGAGTTAGTATAGCACCGTACAGCCTCACCTGAAGTGAAACTTAGC